ACGTCTCCCGGTTGACCTCTGCGCAAAACCAGCCCGGCTGCCGGCCAGGGGACGGGATGCGGCCGGGGCCAGGCGGGGTGTCCGGTATCCCCCGGTGGGAGCACCCGGCTTATCGTGGGGCACCGTCGGAGAGGTGCAGTGGGGAAAACCATTCAGGGTTTTCTCCGCGCGCAAAATAATGAGTAAAAATAGGGGGGTTTGCTGCGGTCTGATCTGCAGGTGACATCTTCTTGCTGTTGGGCCAACGCAGGTGCCCGCCCTGTGCGCAGGCAGCCGGGTATGCGAGAACGAGAAGATGCAAGACGGTGATTAACCCCTTAACGAGAGATTTTTGTGGGAGCGGAGAGACGGCTGAGAGCAACTCAAAGGTGTTTTTGCAAAAGGTTCAACGTTCGCCAAACCCCAGTGATGGTTTCAGCTCTGCCCGTGCCTCTCCCAGGCACAAACCGTCCGAGAGCCACGGGGGAAGCTCCGCTGGGAAGGGACGGCATCACCCACCCGGAGTAAAAACGACAGGGAACCCCCCGATTTGTTGGAAAAAGGGGCAAAAACAACTGGAGGAAGGGGCAGTTTCGCAGCACAGGGTTTGCCGCCCCTGGTCGTCCCTCCCAAAGCACGCTCAGAACGGTTCATTTTACAGCTTTTAGGTCCGGACATGGCATTCCCAGGGCTCATCCAACCTCTGCTCCCATCACAGCAGCTCCAAAGCAGATAAAAATCCCCCTCCATCCGCCCCGCACGATGGCTTACTTGATGGGGAAGGTCTCATCCTTCCTCCGCTGCCTCTCCCGGGGCGGAACGACCTCCCAACCGAAAGTCAGGCTCCAGTCGAAGTTGCCCCGGCTGTGCTGTTTGCCGTTCTGGAGGGGTTTGGAGAACTCGAAGGTGTTGAGATCGATGGTGGCAATGTCGGGGCTTACGACGGCCGTGGGCTCTTCGGCAATGCGGGATAAGAGGGGCTCCAGCCAACCGTGGAAACACTCGCCTGGGAGGTGGGGAAGGGTTTGGGCGTTGAGCGGAGAGGACTTCACCCTCGCGGCTGCCCGGGGACCGCGGGCGGTGGTGGGTACTCACAGTGGGCGTCCAGGAAGGTGAGGACCTCCCCGCTGGCCACGCTGGCCCCCAGTAGCCGCGCCGTGATCAGCCCTTTCCGCTCCTCCTGCCGCACCACGCGCACGATCTGGAGCTGCTCCACATAGCCA